CCAAGTCTGTAGAACTAGCTATAAAAGCCTTAGGTCCTTTAAGTGGTAAATGAGTCCCCAGACACTTGTGTTCCTGAAGGCTATGGGATGTGGAATGTTCTAGTTGACCTTATTCCCATGATGAGCTGGATATTAAAGAGGGTTGACTTTCTGAAAATAGTGGCTATTAAAACAAACTGAAGAGATATGGGCTTGGTAGCATTATTGACAAGACTCATTACTACTGACTAAACAGTGAGTAAGCTTATTTCTTGATAAAATTACCTCATTAAATCCTCGCAATAATGCTATTATTTTTCCCATTTTACGAATGAGTTTAGGGTTATAGTCCTAGTTTGGTCAGTAATTAGTTAGCTCTTAGATAAATTGCTTCCTGTTTTTCCCCTTAATCTCTTATATATAAACAAATATATCTGCCTTAATTATGTCATAAGATTATAATAAAAATTAAACGACATGAAGAAAATATTCTGAAATAGCAAAATTTGGTGACATGTAAGTGAAGAAAAGCACTGGTTAATAGAGCATTACAGACAAAAGAAGAAAAAATAAAATAATCAGAAATGATGAAGATTTAGATATATGCTGATAGGAAATATTGTGCTTACAGCTATTCTCTTTATTAGTTGGGGTAAAATCACTTGCAAATATATAAATTGTCATCTAAAAGCACTACATAAACACCAAATTATGGTAGTGCTGATTTATGAATTAAAGTCTAACTCATATTTCTATAACATTTCCTACTGTGACTCTGTCCCCAATGAGAACCAGTGAACTCGAACCACCTAAATCAACACAGAGAACCTTAAAAATATAACATTGGGAAAAAATGCCTTTCAAGTATATAGGGGTTGTTTGGGATTGTCATAATAATAGAGGCGCGTTGCTGGTACGTAGTGAGTGGGTGAGGATGCTAGATGTTCAGTCCTGGACAGAATGATCCATGCAATGTATGATTGCCCTTTTTCCAACACAACTCTCAACTGCCCTTTCATGGCGAAGGTAAATGTAGTAAACAGGATGTGCGATTGCATACCAAGTTTCCTCTGACCATTTGCTTTCTGAGGAGTTCTTAGAATGACTAAATCAATCAGTTATAGCTTAATGGCATCATCTATGAGTCTAAGCCTTCATGGTTATAACAGCAGATAAGAAGAATGTGCAAACCACTTCCTACATATCCTCAGAGTGGAATGGCAGGACAGAAGAAAGAACATTCTGTTTCTTTAGAAAGAATGTATCTTAAAATCCTGAAATGACCCAGTGCAAGGGGTTGCAGATGCTAGGGTGGTAATTTTTTTTTATTAGTTTCAGGTGTTCAAAGCAACATACTAGTTAAACATTTACACCCCTCACAAAGTGATAACCCCCCCCACACACACACACACATCTACTACCCCCTTGACATCGTATATAGCTGTTACAGTGGTGGTACTTTAACAAAATATATTTTATATTTTCAGAATGATATAGCTATCAGTAACAGAATATCCAATTAGCAGTGGCTCCAATAATAGGAATATTATTACATCACCCAGCAAGGAGTCAAGAGGTGTAAATTCTCAACTTTCTGCTCTGTCATCTACATCTTTTCTATGCCTTTCTTAATGAGCAAGGATGGCTGCAGTAGTTATACACAATGTACCCTCCCATCCACACACCATGGGGGAAAAGAAGGAATAGGGACATGAATATATTTCCCTCATATGTCTCTCTTCTTTTTTCAGAGGAAAAATAATTTCCAAGAAGCCTTCAGAAACTCTCTCATTAGACCCTATTAGACAAAACTGGTCACACACTTACCCCTACACTTGAAACTGGCTAAAGGGAGGGGAATTACCAGTGGCTTAGAATACTCATATTTCATTTCCTGGGTTTGGACATATTACTGTCTGCACAAAATTGGGTTCTCTGGATTTTTAGCAAGGAAATGGGGAAAGTGATTCTTGGACCCATGGGTGTGCTACTGTTTTTAGCACAGATTTCAGAGATTTAAACTATTTCCCCATTCATGCAAGAAAGAGAAGAAGATGGCATGCTCTCATTTTTCTCCCTCATTGCTTTAAATAAAGCAAAGCAAGTTGAGTGGAATTTTTTAGAAAATGGAATCATATTGATTATAAACTCTTAAGAAACCTGATCCAATAACCAGGAGACCTGAGTCTGCCATCAGTCAGTTATAGGGACTTAAGCATATCACTAGGGCTCAATGTCCCACCTATAAGTAGAAAGATTCGATTCAGTACATCACCAGCAGGTCACTTCTCATTTTAAGTTTTCATAAGGCTTTGGATCCTCAATTACAAATGCTGGTTTTCAAACTAAAAGTAATTTTATCATCACTTTGCAACTGAAAGCCAAACCTTGTGCCCTATTGATTCTAAAGAACTAAAGGTGATTTACATGATTTACAATTTATCTTAAGAGGAAGTAAATAGTCAGGAGAAAGTCAAGCTCATTATTCATATTTTTATTTTAACCAGCATAATTACCCTCAGGTACTATCTTTATGGAGACTCTATCAGGGAGGAATGGTTTTAAGTAAGTCTTCCCAAAAGAATGTTACTAAGTGGTCTGGGAAGCAATGAGTTCTTAGGTAAAAAAAATAATTTATGAAAGTGCTGGATAAATTACTGTGAAACAAATTTCTTTATCACTGCATTCCTCAGAGGAATTATAATGTTAAAGGTCATTGTGAATCTCCAATACAGATATTACAAGCACTGTGATAACTAACCATGGCAGCCCACCTGATAACCATCATGGCTACTAAGTGACTAACGGGTGGGCAGCGGACATAGCCTGGATCTGCTGGACAAAGGGAGATTCACATCCCAGGCAGAATGAAGTGGGAGGGAGCAAGGTTTCATCATGTTACTCAGAATGGCACACGATTTAAAACTTAGGAATTGTTTATTTCTGGAATTTTCCATTTAATATTTTCAGACTATGGCTGACACAGGTATCTGAAACGATGGAGAGCAAAATCATAGGTAAAGGCTGACTACTGCATTGTCTACCTAGAGGAACACCTTGCTACCTGGAACTCAGTAGAAATGGCAGAAAGAAAGAAAGAACACAAAAGGTTTATGGGCAACTATCAGGTGGCAAGCCAGACTCTATTGGTTTAATAGAGGAGAGCAGCCTAAAAAAAAAAAGAAATATCTTTCCCACAGGTGGCAGTTCTGAGGATAAACACATTATCACCTGCCAATGAACATGCAATACCAGAAGTGGCTTCTAAACCCTGGGAATTTCAAATATCTAAGAACCAGAGAGAGTGGAAAAGGAAGTTCAAGATATAACCTTATCCCTGTGACCAAATTTTAAATAATAATAGCTATTATTATTATTATATGAAATACTTGTTAAGCAGATACTCAGGCTTAGACATGTTGAATGGCTTCTCAAGTTCTTGAGAACTTTGATCAGGTTACAGGGAGTCTTTTTAGAGTGCTAATTTATCTGTGTATCCTGGGTGAGTGGAAGAAGGCATCAAAGGTTAGCAAAGTAAAAGGGTATGAAATTACAATGGACTGTTTATATGGACACACTCAATTTGTCTATAATTTTCATTTTAAATTATTTTACAAACTGGAATGTTGTTATTTGCCATTTAACAACGATTTAATACCCCTTTATGGTTATACCTTTCCAATGAACAGTTTAAGTTAAAAAATTTTTTTTCCCTTAAATTTGTGGCCTTACCAAGCTACCCAACTAAACAACATTGCCATCTAGTGGCCTAAACATACTACAGCCACCACTTTGGGGTGGGGGCAGGAGTACTAACATAGCTCTGAGGACGGTGTGTCCAGTAGATACCATGTTAATAGTGATGCCAAAGCCACACCAAGATCATACAAACTCATCCGGAGCCAACAAGTGCTCATTCTGTTAGAGAGCCCACTCTGTCCCCAAAGCTTTACCAGCTCCACATGGAAAAAGTACCACTACCACTGAAACAAGGTTTTGCTCTGCCTCACTTCCTTATTTCCTTTTCTTTGAACTTTTGAGATCCGTGTCTCATTCCTTTAGTTAACAAATCCTTGAAAAAATTGTCCAAACACTTTCTCGCCTTTACCATAAAGATGTTGCTTTTTATCACTGTGACCAAGTAAAGAAGTAGGTATCAGCTTGCTCATGATGGCCAAGAACTCCACGAGGATGAATGAAAGGTTCAAGGAACTCCACGGGGAGTTAGCCTAAGCTTTAGTGGAGAACTATTGGGTTGTCGGAAAAGTCATGACGTATTTTTTGTATGTTTTTTCATTGCAAAAACGCATCATGACTTTTCCGACAAACCAAGAGAACTTACCTTAGAATGAGCAAGCAAGGGCTAGGCTTTGGTCTAAACAAGACGAAAATGTAAGAGACAGAATATAGGGCAAGGCTCACAAGAGGGGAGCAGATGCAGTTTTACCTGAGGTTCCTAATATTCTAGAGATAAATACTCTCAGCAAACACCCCTGGGGGCCTTTTTAGTTAAAATCAGTTACTCACTGCTTCACCTGATGTATTGGAAGGCTTATGTAATCCTTTGCATCTGCAACCAGGTCGCTTATGGCAACCACCATCAACATGTCGAAAAGGCATGGAAGGGCATGGAGAACCATGCCCAGCACTGGACCATTATCAGAACCCCACTGATGGATTCTTGCCAAGTCCCATCTCTGACCCTGCACAGCTAAGATCATGATGGATGTGAGGGTGCAAACACAGCAGCCTGTAAGTCTTTCCTTAAGCCCATTTTTTTTTTGACAACATAAGGATGGAAACACAAAACATTTAGATTGGTTTGAAATAAAGGAACAGTGAGAAAGCTTGGAAGAGGCAATTTTCCGACATCCAAATATGTGCTTCTCCAAAATTTGCATCAGGGGCTGAGTCATGCCCATGCAAATGGATCTGAGTTGAAATTTGTGTCAGAAAAACCTGGAACACACTCGCTTCCCCTATGCAAATCGCCTAGGAACGCCGCCGCCGCCGGTTCTTACCTATAATAAAAAGAATCTCCACGGCAATGTCACTGACTGTGGTGCTCCGAGTCGTGGACAGGTCGTCGTTGCCAATAAAGCAAACATTGTAAGGTACAGTCACGGCAACATAAAACGTTGCCAGCAGAATAAGCCAGTCCCAGCCAGCTTTAAAAGTGCTAAAATGCAAAAGGATGAATTTGGACTTTTTTGCGTCAGAAACTTTATACTCCGGAAATGCTGGTTTATCTACAAAAACATTCTGTGGATAAAGACAAAAAGAAGAGAGGGGAGACAGAACATTAGCAACAGGGATCGCACAGCCGTAAGCACACCTCTGTGAGGAGGATTATTCATACGTACAACGTCAGTCTATTTGACGAGGGACTTTCAGAAGCAGCTGATGCAGAAAGCAGAGATGTATATACTAAAGTGGATATACATTTTACATACAGATATACAGAGGTCGTCACGATAAGTAACAGAAATATGCAATTTAGTCATGAACGTTCAGTGAGTAATCCAGGTTTTGTTCGTTAAAAATAACAAGGCCATTACCTAAAATGTCAACTAAAGATGTCAACAGTTGTAAATACAACCCTACACACACTCTAAACACGATACATTTATAGTCCTATTATCATGGGACATTCCATATACTTATAGTTTTGAAATGACAGTCATTATCTAAAGAATATATTTGACCGGAAATTCTCCTGAGGACAGCAAAGCTACCATTTTTTTTTTTTCTCCTAGAAAGGATAGAGATACAAGATTAACCTCTTGTAAACAGCTGCTTACATTTCTTTCGAAATATAAACAGGTTGTGCCACTTGCTTGTATTTTTGCATTGTGGCTTTGGGTGAAGTTCCATGTTGGGAACCCAAATCTCATCACCTTGATTGACATGGATTCCTTCTGACATGAGCTAGCTCTTGTTAAAATGGCAAAATGAGAAACAGTCGCTTAAGAGTTACGATTCAGGTCATGGGAGGCGAAAGGCAGTGTTCACTGTGCAGCTGATTAAATGAAGAATAGCTGGAGTTTTTATAACTGCAAAAGCTCTTCACTTTGAAAGCACTCCAAATTGATGAACAATTCTTCTTATTGCTATGAGACAAAGGGAGGCCCAACAATAACGCGTGTGGATATTTGACAAGTCTATGACCAGATACTTGCAGACCTTGCTTTGACCTCAATTAATGAGAAATACAGGATAGGTAATGGAAACTTAAATTTGAAAGTTAAGTTGAATTGAACAAAACAGTTAAAAGTTCTGGAATGCATGCTACTTGCAGGTTACAGTGTGTTTTCTTATTTCAGCCATTGAGGGAAGAACGAATTAATGTGGTATGTTCAGGGATTCCAAGAAAGGCTCCAAGCAATCTGGAATACTTAGCTCTTTAGTGGTGACTATCAGTAAGCAAATATCCCTACTACCTTAATATCAAGGCACCCTTTATCTTGCATCTTTTCTTGGTAGGTATTCCTGACACATTTCTATTTCCTGTTAGTATTTTCGCTCAATCCACACAGGAACCTCATAATGCCAGGATTTCATAGTGAGATACTGCTTTGCTACATCCAGATTGTTCTTTGATGCCTATCTGCCACTGCATCCACATTCCACTTAATTCTCTGATGCTTGACTTGCCTCCTTCATCTCATTCTAGGAACAAATTCCAAAGATGGATTTTGGCATAGAACTGAGAAAAGGAGACTGAAGTACAACTGTTGAGCTTCTCATCAAAGCTTAGGCTGGTGCACAGGAGAGAGTTAGGGTCCATAAGTTCTAATCTCCTCAAGGTTGATAAACACTTCTATTTATAATAGGACATGATGGATTCTAATATATATTTTTTCAAATATTTACTGCAATAAGACATTACCAGAAGGCATGGGGGGATATTTCAACTTCCATCCAAATCAGTCTTTTCCTATCATGTTACAGAAATGAAAATTTTACCTTGTTTGAGAGAGAAGCTAGCTCTAGGAGTAAGGGTTGGGAAAAGTAAAGAATTATCTTTGGACTATGTTTTTTATATGAAACATTCGTAATGCTGATGCAAAAGGTCGGCAATATATTAGTTATATCCACAAATCATAAAATAAATCACACCATTTCATTTTCTAAGCTACATAAAATGTATTATTTAAAATTATTTTGAAAGATACTGAGAATCCAATACATCTCATATTAGACTTTTATTCTAAAGGTTTTTAACTCAAATCCTGCATACAACTTGATACAATCACCTGAGTGAAAAAATACATGCTCCACTCCTCCCACCCCTGTATTTATAAAGTTTTATCAAAAACATTTCAAATGGGAGAAAATTTCTTACAATTGGAAAGTGTGCTTTTAGCAAATAGGGGGAAAATACATATTATTTATAACCCTGAAACATATAGAGTCTGCCTAAAGAATAATATGACCAACGATTCTCAATTTTTGTTTATAAATTAGTTATTAATTTTGATGCATATATTTTTTAGTAGCTATGGTGTTTTAACTATTTAACCCCTACCCTAGGAATTACTGAAACACAGTGGTTAAGACTATAGCGTAATCAAGGTAACTGTTTTCTAAACTATTTTTGCAACATTTCTTTGAAACTAACTCTGAATGAACAAAGGAGTAGGAAAATGTTTCTATTGTCACTACACAGAGTAATCCCAACAGCTTAGTGTATACCACTAGTACCCTGCTGGTGGTACTCAGGTATTTTCAAGCACTCTCCTTTCAAGCTCCCAGGCCTCTTAAATGATCTTTACATTTCTTTGTGTTGGAGACACTTCCCAATGTCATGTAACAGACAGAGTGACAAACCAAGGAAAGCAGAAATTAAACACCTTTTCCAAGATGTGCCATGCAAAGTAAGAGCCATGACTGAAAGGTATTGCATCCTGATTGGGGAGAAACCTTGCTAATGGCCTGTTTAGTTGTGTTGTCTGTGGTTGAGTCATATATTCCTAGCCAACAGGACTGGAACAGAGAGGCAAGAAAGGTAGAGGCAGAAGCACAGTGGCTTTGAGTCAAAAGATTCACGGCTGGGTCCCACATCTGCTGCTTTTACTTTTTAGATCTCAAATAAGTTGTTCTTTTGCGTCACTAAAATCATACCTAGTACAAGCTTGCTGTTAAGAATCAAATAATGTGATGTGTGTAAATGGAATCTGTAAATAGCAAAGGGCTACAAAAATATGGAGAAGTCTTTTGTGTGTGTGTGAATGTTAATAGAGCCAGACTCCCTAAAGATTGATTGTTTAGCCAATAAGCTACCCAGATCATTTGTTTATTCTTCTTCCTTCTCTCTTCCTGCTGTTTTTAAGCCACTCTACCCTGTTCTCCTTCAAAGAAGGGCCACTTCTGACTCTACGCTTCACTACCAGAAGAATTACCTGAACTGTTAGAGTCACTGTGTGGATTAGACATCCTTAATTACTCTCCATTATTTTAATGCTCCATCCTGATGTTTGTACTTCTTAAAGAAATGGCAATGTAGCAAATTATCTAAGCAGTGGGAATTATGATTTTTTAAATCAGATTTTAAGTACTGTTCTGCACTTTGTCGTATCGAGAGGGAAAAACAGCATGTTCAACAAATGCATTTTAAAGCTCAATAACGCTTGCCATGTCCAAACGAATCTCAGCCAAAGGCTAGAAGACAGTGTCAGCTTTCAGTGTCGTAGAATCTCTGGCTAATATTTGTTTATGTGCTCTACTCGTTGACTTGCATAGAAACAAGCCCAGATTTGGCTACCTTTGTTCCTTCCTTAGAATGTTTACTGTCACTGAGGCTGACTCGGTAACTGAAGGGAGATGTAAACAGGAACCAGTGGAAGGAAGGCTCCATAGATCAAGTGGTGTGCACTGTTCTAAGTCTATCCCTGGATTCTCAGGAAATCCATGTGACACTAGGCCCACATATCCCTAGGAAATCTTTATATTAAGTCAAGATAAAATAAGCAGTGGGTGGTGACTCTTTAACAGCAGCGCACTGGCAGATCAGCCCCAGCATGGGTGGTGGTCCTGGTGCACAAATGGGTCGAAACAGCTTGTTCTGGCTTCCAGAGGGGCATCACATGGGAGCAGAGCCAGGTGTGCAGCACTTCCATGTCAGCTCTTGCTCCACACCTGGGCCCCTGCGCCTTTGTTTGTTTCGCTACAATCAGATAAGCGGATACTTTTGAATGTCTGATATGTGACTTTTATCAAAGCATTTGTATGTCAGGTTAGGGAACTCGAGCTTTCTATGTAAAAAGTAAGATGCCCAAGAATCCCCCGTGTCCCTAACTCCCAGCACTGCTGGATCTTAGATCGATTCCAAAATAGCTCTGGTTGTTTGCTGTGACTCTTTCTAATATCACTGCCAAGTTAGACCCTGAGTATTTATAACTGCCACCCATGCTCACCCCGCCCTCCAAAGTGGTGTGTGCTAAAGATTCCACAATGCAGATTAACGGCATTCTATCATTTGAAAAATTGTCTTTGAGTATCTACAACTAAACAGGCAAGGATCCGGGTTTCTCAGTGAAGTCTCTTAGTGCTAAGAACGAATGATGAAATTAAGTGTGACACCCTGGAGGATGTGTCATGTAAACCTTTGCGAAGAATCACCTTTTATAGGCACAGTTATTTGCTGTGGCTTTTTTGAGAGATAAGCACCAGGTTTCAGAGAGCAGCTCTCTCCGATCATTTACTAAGAGTGCAGCTTTTTACAAAACTGTGCAATGTGTGGCGTGTAATTTCTAATCCAATGTTCCACTGTGTGAAATTTTCCAACTGCATGTTTGTATAAAATGTAAATTTTTAAGCGGCGTAATGACTTTGATTTGTCCATAGTCCCCCCCAGATAAAAGCATGAAATGAAATTAGATAAAGTGCAAAGTAGATGGTGCTAAAATTAAATTTGAGAAGTTTTAACTGATATACTGTGCATGTGTAATATGACTTGTTGCATCATCTTTTTCATAAAACACAGCCAGTCTACCCCCCATCTACCGCGCCCCTACGAACATATCTCACTGGCTGCAGTAATATTCTAATCTCTATTCTGTGATAACACTATGATTAAGCACTTTTATTACAGAAATGCCTCATGACTGCTGACCTTTTCCAGTTTGTTCTTTATAGGAAAGCACAAGCCAAACTGGAAAAAAAAACCCTAGGAAAGCCAATAAATGAGTAAATGGAGCCCTTCTTTAGCGAATCAAACATTGCCACCAGGGGAAACTCTAGCATTCAGAGTGTACACACATACCACCTACATTATTTATTTTCAATTTGTTCTTTTCTCTTCTTTGCAGGTGCCCAGAGATGTGATAAAGGACTGCTCGACTCCGTCTCCGGGCTGAGTCAAAGTGAGTACCTGCTCTTGATCTTCCTCTGGCTTTGTCTAGGGGAAAACAAAACTCATTAAGCACCAATCAATGCATCATTTCATCGCAACAGAGTCACGTTTTGACAGTTCCTTTTCAAGAGCACCTAGTACATGCTTTTCAACACCTAAAATTATCTGCTGGCTTCGACTGACATTTAATTTAATTTTAGTTCTTTACAATTTCTATATTTTTATCATTATATTAGTTGTATTCGATTTTTTAAGTAAAATATACATGAGCATAGACGTTAAAATGGTTCAGAAAAGGATTAAATTAAAAAATTTACTCCTTCTTTCTTCCTATTCCACACTCATATCCCCATGTTTTTTTTCTTAGTTTTTTCCAGCAAAAATATCTAATATACATGCTATATCCACATTTATGTTAATTTTTCTTTGCATAGATGAATGTTTACAATAAAAACTGTTTATATATTACTTTTTTCAAATCAAAATAACTTGTATATCATTCCAAATATGCACATTGTAGTTCTTCTCACATTCTTTTCAATAGCTAAGGGCGTACTATGTTAAGGATATAACTTGCCTTATTTGTTTTACTATTTCCTTATCATACACATTTAGATTTATCCAGAACTTTAAAAAATTGTGTAGCTAATCCTGCAATGAAAATTCTTAAACACATAGAGCTTTGCATTGATGTGCTAGCGTATTCAACAAATAAATTACTAGGCGTGGATATGTACATTTAAAATTTTGGTATACATATTCCATATTTCATTCTAGCAATTTACATTCTCAGCAGTAGTGAAGGGAGGTGGCTGCTTTACCATGCACACATCAAAATTATGAAATATAAAATGAGTGCTAACATTTTGATAGTTTTAAAATGTGATATTGTTTGAATTTGCACTTTAAAATTATGAATGTGGATGAGCATTCATTTATATACTTATTGGCTATTTACATTTAGTTTTATAAAGTCTATTCCTATTTTTGCCAATATTGAAGTTGTTGGCACTTTTCTACTTATTTGTAAGAGCTGTTTGCATACTAATCTCCATTTTCTCATCATGTATGCTACCAACAGTTTCCATTTGTTACTTGACTTTAGATTTTATTTATGCAGTATAAAGATTAAAAAAATTATGTTGTCACGCTTATCAGTCTATCCATTTGTGGTGTCTAGACATGTCCTGCATAGCCAAACTGTCTTGACTCAAAAATTATTTTTTAATTCTATGCATGCTTTCTTTGAACATCTTTATGTCTTAATTTTTTATTTTTAACATTTAAATCTTTAATCCAATTGGACTTTATTTCAACAAAATTAAGTGGGTACTGCTATTTTATTTTCTTTCAAAGGGGTTATTTTACAAGAGAAATAAATCAATCATATGACATTAAGAAACACTTAGTTTGTATTTGGTCAGTTGGTCCACATACAATTTCATTCTAAATAAATTGTATCTATAATACAATGATTGCAAAATATAAAAATTAAAAACTATTCCTTATCTAAGCTTCATCATCAAATCTTTATGGTATTATGAAGGTTCTTTGATTCATCTACTTCATAAAATTGATTTCATTTGGTTGCTACTTTGGGGAAACTCTATAACTATCATTGATGGCTACTATGTGCCAAGTTCTGTTCTAGATCCTCAGTATTTATTTCAACTAATCCTCATAAATACTGAGATAAGTACTATTATCCTCCATTTACTGACAAGGAAATTGAAAGGTCTAATATCATGACATATGATCACGCAACTAGTAAGGAGTAGAGCCAGCGTGTGAAGCCAGGTAGGTCTGACGTCCCTACTCCTTCCACGCACACAGCACCAAGTCCCTAATGACTTCAACCAATGTAAGGGATGCAGCTTGGTGCTGAGTGTCACATAGACTAATGTGTATCATTGTCCCTGCCCATCTGAGCTTGGACTTCAAGTCTTTCAAAAAATTTAACACCCCCCCCCATTCCTACTCTACCTTGGGTGCTTTTAATGACCAGAAAATAGGATGTTTTATACACTGCAAAATGATGTTATGCATGTTCTAATATGATGTTACATGTTTTCTTTTAATTGTTCACATTTTGCTTCATACTTTGAAAAGAAGTGTAAAATAAAACATATTACTATAGACTTGAATCACTAAAAACAGATTAGAAAAAAATGTAAACATCAAAAGGGGATTTTTCTGGAAACTCATGGCTGAACAAAGCGCATTTCATTGTATTGCTAAAAGTTAAGATCATGTCTCTATGTATTCAATTTTTTGGTCTGCATAGAACTCATAAGTTGTGTCTAAAAATGTAATTGTTAAGCCACGAGAGAGTAATTTTAAATATATTTAAATTTTAAAACAGCCAGAGTTTTATGACAATGTCTATACGAATGTGGTAGGAAAGGCCACCAGGCTGCTTCAGTAATATCAGTCAGCCTCAAAATGCCAGGTGGAATTACAATCATAACGATAAAATGGACCAGATTAGAAACTTATTACAGTCAGTGAGCCAATTCCCTTCTCAGTGGAGCAATCTGATTAATAGCTGAGATTTTCCAAATCAAACAGCAATTTTATAGTCTTAAAGAAAGAGCCCTTCAAAGGGAAATGGGAAAGAACTGTATCTGTCTTGATCTTGGCTCTAAATGGAAGCAAAAAAAGTTTTCCTTGAAAAGTTTTAGTCACAGTTTAACCCTCATGCAAAATTGGGATTGAAAATCATTCCACTTAGGTGATCTAAAATCTTCCAAGCAGAGGAGTGAATTTAAAGTGGTCTGAGTTGGTGGCTCCCAAACGAAAACAAACAAAAATCCCAAATAGAACAGGGAGCAACTCATTTTAAAAATTATATATGTACAAAATATTTATGGCAGCAATATTTGTAGTTGGCACATATACACAAATAAATATATACATATATAAGATAAATGTATGTTCATGTGTATAACTGGAAACGAGCCAAATGTGCATCAGCAAAAGAATGCATAAATTGTGCTATAGTCATGACATAGGATATTAAGACTGCATTAAAATGGACTTATGCGGGAATAAATGGAAACGAATTAAATATTAACATAGAAATATCTCAAAAACATAATATTGAGTATAAAAGCAAGAAATAGAAGAACACAGACAACACAGGTAACCTTTTTATAATATTTACACATATGCAAAACTAAACGTATTGTTTAGGGGAATATATGCATTGTACAAGTACACATAATCACAGCACTACAGCTAGCTACAAAGAGATTAGAAAATATAGTCTCTAGTTGGGCGATTATGTGCCTTACTAAATGGCATTAGTAAAATTATATTTCTTAAATTGGATTTGGGGTGCGTGGGGATTTATAATAATATTTTCATATTACATATATAACTTATATTCTATTTTTTTAATGTAAGAAATATTTCACAACAAAAAGAGGACAACACTAGAATGGTATTAGGCCATTTAACAAGGGAACCTAATCGAACTCTTCGGAGTGGGGAGGGATTGGGGATAGGACATCAATTGCTTAAGACGAATGACTCAGGATTAAAATCTGAAGACCAAATAGTTGTTAATAAGATGAGGGGTAGCAGAGGCAGAAACATTCCTGACAGAGCAAATAAAAGGCGTGAGGGCCTTGGGCAGAAAGGAGTTCAGCATCTTTAAAGAATTAAGAAGTTCAGGAGTTAGGGACATAGAGAATGAAAGGAACAGAAAGGGGGGAAAAAAAAAAGAAAAAAAAAAGGAATCTAGAAGGTAGGCAGAAGCCAGATACCTAGTGCCTTTGAAGCCACATTAAGAATTTTAATTTTTCCTCTACTGAAATGGTAAAAGTATTTAATTAGAGAATAGCCTAAGCTGATCTAACAAAGACCCTAAAGTATATGTATATAGTGGCTGGAAGAAGAAACACACTTTGAGTGTGTATCTTTTTCAGTCTCAATCACTTTTCCTTTCCTGTAACAGAACAGAGATTAGCAATCTAAAGTGGTGGAGTAACTCTCATTGACTTTGGACACAAGTGGACTCCATCTTTGAGTCTAAGGAATCTCCTCTATGTGAAGGAGGAAGAGGAAGTTGAGGGCAAGAAGATTCCAGTGAGGGAGCTAGAAGTTGCACACATCACTTTTACTCACACCATAGCCACACTCAGCTGCAAAGGAGACTGGGAAATACAGTCTCTAGTTGGGCAGCCATGTGCACTGTTAAATCTTAGTTGTAAGTTAGAGAGGGTTCTATTCTTAGTGAATGAGTCCTGGAGGCTAATTAACAGTCCTTGCTCACAAAGCCAGGTTTTAAGTATTCAAATGACCTGAGAAAATTTGAGTTTTCAAAATAATTCATTGACTTGTAATGTGGGAACTGATTAGAAAGAATCAGTAGAGGTTGTTAGGAAATCATTCAAGAGGCCATTTTAATAGATCAGTTGAAACACGACGGTAGCTTAAACTAGAGTGGTAGCACTAGAGGCGGAGCAAAGAAGATAGATGCAAAATGCATTTCGAAGGTCAAGTTGCACAGCTTTGTCACTTAATTGATTATGAAATTATCCCTCTCTTATAATAGGAGGGAAGGAGGCAATTGATTATACAATGTAGGTGAACATATAGGTGTGATGGCAGGAAGACGAGTTGGCTCTTGTCTAAGAGATTTCCTTCCTTCCTTCCTTTCTTCCTAGCTTCTTTCTTTCTCTTTCTTTCTTTCTTTCTCTCTCTCTCTCTCTCTCTCTCTCTCTCTCTCTCTCTCTCTCTCTCTCTTTCTTTCTTTCTTTCTTTCTCATTGACTGTGGAGGATAAGTCAAATGCTAAGGATGCAGGGTAATTCATAGGAATTGGTGGTTTGAAAACAATAAAGAATGCTTGAAATATTTGTTGTAGAGGGTGAGCTGTCAAGCCCTGTAGGGAAAGTGATAGATTTGTCTGGGGAATTTGACTGTCCTATTTGAGGCTGCTGATAATAAATTTAGAGGGGTTCCCATCTGCCCTAGTGTAGGTTTTATTTCAGCACTTCTTAACCACTTGTGTACAGGCCAGAGAAAATGGATTGTTGGTTC